AGGGGTGTAGGAGGTGGATGGAAGGACCTCCTCATAACTCACATTGTTACATTATAAATCCTGCTTTCTCATGCAGGGGAACAGAATATTGATCTTTGCACAAGAAATATAGTCCCTCTCGGGCATTTGCTTGTGTTGATATGTGGCATTGTGGTGTAGAAAATGAGTTGCAGAGGTCTTAGGAAAGAAGATCAAACTCACAGGCTTTAAGAGCCACTCCTTAGTGTGACCAACACATTTGTTTTGTATCAAAGCAGAACAGTAGTTGCAATTGTGTGTGTCATGATTGCAGTGTTCGCTTATGCATCTTTGAAGTGAAGTCCTCAGTGAAGGGTAGAGTGTCATCTCTGTAAATTGTTCTTACAGTAAGTCCCAAGCCTCAGCCAGTGAAGAAAATATTTGTTCAATTCGAGAGGAAAAACTGTCTTTAACTTGCCGAATGGTTAAATTCTGTCCTTGATCTCAGCAGTCATATAACGTGAGCAAAATCTGAATGTGTCAAGACAAACTACAATCCAAACTGACTTCTGAAAATCTGAATAAACAAAGCTGTTTGTGATTAAAGGCTGTTTAAAGCCCAACAAGAAATCCGAATCTGTTAAAATAACACCCTTCTAAATCCTCTTGGTTTGAGGAATCTGCGCAGTTAAGTTAAAAGGAGCCTTGCTGAGCCAGACAAACAATATTTAATTGTTTAAAACAACTGTTTTCACACACTAAATTTCTTATCTCCAGCTATTCCAGTGATGCCGTCTAAAATGAAATTATTTTCAGACACGGACTGATACTGTACTGAATTAAAGACTAAGAAAGCGTGAAAGTAGGCCATTGATGCAGATGTATGGATAGGATTACTTGCAGCCCACTCATTAAGTCAGTTCTGACAGATATTAAGTTATTCGAGCTAAATTCCTAGGTAAATTAAACGGCTAGAAGAATTTTAGAAAGTTAAGAACCGGGTGAAAGCTCATGTCAATCATTCAGTAGAACCCAATATATCACTTTATTATGCATTCAGCACAAACTGACAAAAACACTGTAGAGTGGATCGTCAGCGGAGCATAGCTGACTACTCAGCAAACCCAGCCAAATATTATGATTTCCAACCGTAGTTTAAATCAGAAATACAGGTTTGTGGATAATGGGGCTCAGGCCAGTGTTTCAGGCAAACCACCAGATTGCTGCCTTGGACGTATTTGTAGTGGAAACAGATGGGACAGGGTGCACAGTGGCAGCTCGTCATTTTCATGGTCACACAGTGGGGGCGAGTTATGGAAAATGTTCCTCATTAGGCAATGTATCATGGTTCATTCATTCTGGAAAACTAAAAGCAAGTTTTTACTTTTTACATTGTAAAAGTAAAAACAAATAGGAATATTTTTGTTGTGAATGCGTTTTCTTTTCCTTTTTTTTATCATTATTTAGAGATCAAATATCCAGTGCTATTATAGCAGCTGTGCAATCTGTCCAAAAGGCCTAAATGCTCAAAGTAGTTTCATATTGAACATCGCAACCACAGCTCAATCAAAATCTAATTTGCATTTGTAAAGCTAGCACTCGGTTCATTATATTTGCTGCAGAAAGACATTATCTTAATAAGCATGACAAAGAGAGGGAAAGCTGGTGCCAGTGCTATCACCGGCCTGGGATTAACAGAAGAGGAGAGAAACAGAGAAGCCTGCTGGGGGAACACATAACTCCGCCGTGTGTCTCAATGCTGAGAGAGAAAGGCAAAAGATGACAGAATGCAATATTCTCTTTGGAATTAATTCACTGTATCTTCTCCAAGAGCATCTAATTTAGTGTTGCTTGCCTTCTTTACTGTCTCAATCTGCGCCTCGCTCGCTCTGTCTCTCCCACTTTCTTCATCCATCTCCTCTACTATCTCGCTGTTTCCACCCTGCTCTGCGTCTCCCCTCTGCTCCCGCCGCCATCACCACCCTTCTAACCATCGCCTCTATCCATTTGCTGTCTCCCGATCTCTCTCTTTTCCTGCCTGAGGCCTTTGTTAGACTGTCTTTGTGGGTGAGTGCAGAGAGAAAAAGGGAGACCTTGAACAAGACTCAAGCAGTCTGATTGGGAAGGAGAGCGCGAGAACCTGGAGACATGAGAGCTGAGAGCGGGAGCGAGCGGATATGAAAAACCTCTTCTCCCCCTGTGAGAGACGGAGGGAATGAGAAAGAAGAGGGGTCATACTGATAGAAACACAGACAGGCAAGGGGGGTGAAAGTGATTAGCCCCTCATCCACTGTTTTAAAGAGGTTAACCTCATTAAAATTGTGGTTATGAAAACGCTGAGGGCACGCTAGATTATAAAGCCTCATGCCAATAGTACATTCTTATAGTCTGAATTCATAGAGTCTTCACCCATTAAGTTTTGATTTCAGATAACTTCTGCATCCTAAAGGTCCTTTCGCCCCCCCCCCCCCCTCCCCCCTGGTTCATTTGGATGAAAGGATAAAATCGTTGTGCCCTTCAAGGTGCGGATTATTGCTGGAAGAGAAATAGCAGCCACTCCTCTCCAACTCTAACTTTTGCTGGAAACAAAAACGCGGCGCCCGTGTTAGCGGATAAACTAAAAACAGCAGTAAATGAGTGAAAAAATGAAAAGGTCACTGAGTTTTCCAGCCCGTTGCTCATCCTAAATGGATCCCCGTGGCCTTAATGAGGATGGATGTGAGCTGAAGAGGATTCACTGGTCTGAGCTCAGCCTCTCGACAAGGGCAAAGGAGACGAGAAGAGTTGAGTTAGAAGAAGGCCTGGCTGTGGCGAGGTTTAGATATACTAGTGTGGAGGATTTACAGAATACAGTTGTAGGAGCTGTGTTCTGTGTGTAGGCCGGCAGCGTAGACTAGGGGGAGGTCAAGGGGCCTGTATTTAGTGTACAGATTTACCAGCAAGCCTCTGTGAATCCTTTCTGATAATCTCCTTTGTTTGATTCTCTCTCTTTCTCTGTCTGGCACACATAACAACTGAAGCCTAATGAGGACTTCTGTGCCAGTTTTATGCTCCTATCTGCTAGCTAGTCAAACAAAAATAAAAAAAAAGGTTATTGTGTTCATCTGATCTAAAGGGTGAATTCCTATCCAACTCCAAACAAAATGTAATACAAGTGAAATAACACCATATTTTTGAAACAATGGGCGGTGCTGTGATCTTAAGAATAGAGGGCGCCGTCTCATTGAGATGATAGTAGACACTTTGGAACTGCAGATGATTTATAGGTCTTGACCAAGTGCATACAGTTATAGGTCTCTCTCTACATTAAGCCATAAGACACTTGATATCTTTCATGATTCATGACGAGGAGCTCGGAAACACCTCAAGGTCAGACTGATAACTATGAGATGTTGGGTGATGACATCAGCTTAAAGTCAAGCCTCGCCCTCCTTCTTTTTCAGTTGTGGAACTAAACTAAAATGTGTGGAAACAGGCATTAAACAGGATGCATGGTGTCCTTTAAAAATGATGCGTTCTCCCAAAGACCAATTGTTGACCTACAGTAAATGTCAGCAGAGGAGAACATCAAGTCCAAAATTGCATGTCCTTAGAGGAGTCCATTGTACAATTACAGTGAAAACTTCTAAATCTCCTATTTTGGCCATCAAATATTATACTTAACAGTTAACAGAGTAATAAATGTGCAAAAAAACATTGTGAAAAATTACACTTGATTTGATCTGAAATTTTAGTCCCTGCCGTGTACATTTGAAGTTGCCAAAGTGCAATTATCAGATTTATTTAGCCGCTAGTTTCAATAAAAAAACCAACAGGTGGTGCTTGAAATATCACACGTGGCACATGAATCAGTGTGGTGCCTACCGGTGTGCTAAATAATCTAATTTTGAAAATGCCACAGCTCTGTAATATAGCAGTTTACATTCTAGTTTCATCAGTGCTTTGTCAGTGCGGTGCCTGAATGGATGGATATATGAAATCCCAAGCAGGTCATTAAGACCAACCTTTTAGTAAGGCCATCAGATCATGTGTCATTTAGCTGACGTGACTCTTTTTTAGGACATGCAATGGCTACATTGGCGGAGTCATGACATCCATGTTGCAGTATGGGCACACTCTTTACCTTTGATATCCTTGAAATCAAAGTTACTTGTTTATTACGCTGTGCTTCAGTGAATACCACATACCACCACTCTTACTTTTGTCTTTTCCTGGATCAACAGACAATGTATGTTATACTGATATAATATAGAGAATGTCCACAGAAGGCCCACAGCTCTAAAATAAATTGAAATTATGTTGTATTAGGTGTAACTTTTGTTCAGCAACTCATTGTATTAACCTAATATCTTATCGAAATGATTGCCTCATTTCATATTTTGGGTGAAATTGCTGGTTCAGGATCTGCACCCAACTTTCCAGAGAGAAGATACTTGAAATAGCTCTCCTATTTACTCAGACTTGAAAAGGAAGCCATGTGGAGTGAAAAAAAGAGAGGTTAAGGAAAGGCAAAAGCGGCTGATTTCAAGCCCGAACCCCAGCAGACTTTTTGGAAGTGCTCTTTGGGAGGAGAGAAGAAGAGAGCCCCAGTCGGTTTACTGTGACCGACCGTGAAGCGCACATCCTCCGGTGAGCAAAGCGGGGACTGTCCTTGAAGCTGCGTCAATGTCCACCGTCTAGCCCGGATGTGTGGGGAACAGTACCTCCAAAACAAAAGCTTAACTTTTTAATTGTGGAGTATCATACATGTCACATACCTTTTGTCAATGTAATACATTAAAAAATACCTTAAATCAGCTATCTAGTAAAACACTATATTGCGTAAGCCTTCATAGCTGCTGCATGGCAATTAATGTATGAACCAAACTATATGGAAATCCGATAAAAGAATGTACGTAACGCATCGTGTACTAACCTAACCCATCCCCAGGAATCTAATGGAGCATATTTTGAATCGAAACGAATTTAATTGTCTGATTTTATCTTGGAAGTCTGGTCCGGAATTGATGATCTGCGCAGCTTGGGTTAGGCTTGACTGTAGTTGTGCGGGAGCGTTGGGCACACACGCCGCTCTCTCCACCACATCGCACCACTGCGGTAGGAGCGGGGAAGGCAGCAGCAGAGAGGGGGGGACCAGGCAGGCACAGTTCACTTGTTCCTGCACGGAAACAACCCCGGTGGCGAGATCGTCAGCTCTGCCGACTTTTAACACAGGTGGACTTCATCTGAGAGGACATCAACAGATCCCAGGGCAATCCCACAGCCCAGCGAGAGCGAAGCAGAGACAACTTTTGACTATTGCTCCGTGATTTGTTTTGTTTACCACACCTCCGTAACCTTGGAAGTCAGACCTGTTAATTGTGAGAGGATGGGACCGCTACTCCTCTCCATCGCCCTGTGTTTGGGCGCCGCTGTCCCGCAGCATGTGATAGGTGAGTGGAAAAGTGACTGGCCGTCATTAGCGTTGTCAAAACATTTTTACACGACCAGCCTTTTTTTTTTTTTTTTTTGCGTGGGAGTCCCCCAAAACTGATCACCAGCGATCAGAGCATCTTTACATGTCGCAAGTGACCAAGTCGCCTGAATCCGATTATTCCAAAGAGGGAGGCCCACATCAATAGCTGAGCAAAATATAATGTGCGTATGGAGAGGCTGTATTGTTAGCATTGTTTGGCAACATAAAACTACCGCTTGTAGTCTGTGCACGACTCGCTACTTAATTGGTTTATTTGCGTTTTAAGGACACTTGTTTGAGTCGATCAAACAGATGAATCAATGTTTTATCCGTGCGTAATTGTTCTGTGACAAGGGGCCAAATCGCTCCATGCATCAGGCGCGCACATTCTAAGGTATAGCACTGTGCACTGCTCCAGTATTTTGTGCGCCCTCGCAGTGATGATCTTCAGCAGTTTATTCGCTCATCCATGATGCTTCCAGAGGATAAAAAGAAGATGTGCGTCCAGATATAGCCCCAGTCGGGGAAGACAGAAATTACGTCACTTTTTCCTCTTTGACAATATGAGTTTAGAAAAATAGATAAATGGAAAGACGTCTCGATAGTGTGGGCTTTAGGCAGACACAGATGCTTTTTGCTTCGAGGAGATATGCTCGAGAGCCTCCGGTGTTTGTTGCATCACGGCACCATTATTGACTAAGATGTCACCAAGAGAAGGTCAGTTGTGCCTTGCAAGTATAATGTAGAGTCTTTCCAAAAACTGTCAGACTGTGTTAAGTTGAGAGGAAATTGTTGAAAGCTTATATATTCACCTGACCCACTGGATCAGCATTCAAATAATTTTTTCATCCCCCCCCTCCTTTGCCCTTACAGTTTCTGGTGATAGGAATATTTAAGCTTTTGCCCGTGTGGTATATTTTCCATGAACAGTACCTGTGGGAGTTGTGTAAAGAAAGCAGTGTAGCCCTTATGGAAGTGGGTCATGCCATCCGTCCTGTCTCTATTCATTTAGCAACATGCTTGCCTCAGGAGTCCCACATGTCAGACAGACCTCAGTCTCCACACCAGGAGTGAGCCTTAAGCATGAGTTTCTAAGGCTCCCTAAGCCTCGCAGTGTCAACTCAGAATCAGCCGCTAGAAGACATAAGACTCCCTGGTAGGCCGGCATAATGGATGCAGAGGAAAAGCAGGGAGCTTTAGTGCCGTGGGTCGACTTGTTTCAAGGCTCAGTGAGTTAAAAATACACCCCGAACTTGTCCCTCAATTAATCACATCCCAGTTAAATTGGTTGCATTGTAAAAGGTGTTTTGTCCATCTGTTTCCTACAGCTGTAACCTCATTCACACAAGGAGCTGGTTTGCGCAGGACAGGGAGGTGGATGGAGAGTCTAAACTGTGTTTGATCTATCTGTGAGCATCCGTACAAACCCTCCTTGGTCACCCCTGGCTGCTATTTTAGCAACATAACTGCTCTGGATGGGCTCCAAAGGTCCAACAGCATTCAAACTTCCCGTCATAAGGAATGCATTGTGGTGATTTGAAATCTCTTTGTATTATAGAAAAGCTGCGTTATACTTACCTTTTGTGGTTGCTCAAAGGTAGCAGATGTCTTCAGAGACAGCTGCTACCAAACACTCTATTCAGGATGTCACAGGGTGCCTCCGTCCACTGAAACAAATTGATGGGGTAGAAACATTCGCCTTCAGGTAAACAGGCTGCATTGTTCCAAGTCAGTGTGCAATACATCACTTCCTCTGGTTGGTTACTGGTGCTGACTCTCACACATTGTTTGTGATCCAGCCTATCCGCCTGGACAAAGCACATGACTGCACGAGTGGGCCCACTGTATGAACGATGCTATTGTGCTTGTTTAGAGTCAGTTCTAATGAATTTTATGCATCTTAATTTTAGTCTCAGTCTTGTTATGGCCGCGCAATTACAGCCTTTTAAGCAAATGGACGGCCATCTGGAGGGGTGATGGGATTGTCCGCTATTGGTGAATCGTGATTAGTGTTAATGTTGTTGGTCACTGTTCATTTCGCTCAAATATTTCACTCACTTAACACAGTTGAAGTAAACACAATGCACAGATGTAGAAGCATTGTGATTTCTAGAATGATTGTGGGTTTATATTGGCCTGATCAGTTGCTCATCATGCTCACTGACTGTAGATTTCAGTCACTTTAAACATGAGGGAAAGACTGACAGAAGGCTACTTCCTGGTGACTAGCAGTTCTCTTGAATACCTATTGAATACCTATGTTGAATACACTTATTGTAAGTCGCTTTGGATAAAAGCGTCTGCTAAATGACTGTAATGTAATGTAATGTACTTCCTTGTTAGCAGGAATGGCATCTGGTACATTTGGATACACAAAAGACCTAGCTAGAATTGAGTTGGATGGAAATTGTTGGCTGGCTGTAACTAAATACTGCTTTTAGTATCTTGGGGCCATGGATTGCCACAGCACAGTGCAGACTAACTCACTTACATTTCCTCCAACGCATTCTTTTTCTACAGTATATGCACAGTGGGCATATACATCATATGGGCAGTGGGCATATACATCATATAACTCATGAAAACTCATGTTTTCATGAGTTATATGATGTATTGATCACTGCAAATATATAACCTCAGACTTGTAAACAAATTGCTGCAGCAGTACAGCATTGGCTTGAGCTGCAGCAATCAGTTGATTCATTGATTAGTCAAACACAAAATTAATCAACAACTATTTTGATAAAGAATTCATGAAGTTTTTCAATCATTCGCAGGTTAAAGCTTCTCAAATGTGATGATTTGCTGCTTTTCTTTGTCATATCTGACTGTAAACTGAATAGCCTTTTTTTGCCTTTTTGACAATCTCTAAGTTAATTGCTGAATTACCATTTTGAATCAAATACTTTTCAGTGAACTTGCTGCCGCTGTGCAGAAAATAAGCCGAGCTTGTGTTTGCAAACAGTTGGGGATATTAATAGAAGATGTTCTCTTTAAATGCATGCAGAAGATAGCGATCCATCTAAAAGCTCATTAAATTTACTGGCCAGTGGCCACTGAAGGATGTGGAGGACGCATTGGTGACTTTTAATAACAATGGTAGGCAACCTCCCTCTACAGTGCCCTTCACTCTGGTTTTAAATGCCACAGTCTTCAATCAGTCGAGAGAGGTCAGACCTCTGTCAGATCAGCAGCCATGATAACCAAAGGAATGAAAGCAACTCATTGACGACAACATGCACACAAAGGAATGCGATATGTGTTATCAGAACATATAGGAATCAATCACAAAACCATCTCCTGCTGCTGCAGTGACATTGGCCACTCTTTATTTTTTCATGTTTGTGGAATTTGATTGGGCTATTCATTGTCAGTGCAGATAATCCTATTAATTATGATCATTTGACTCCTCTGCTGGCAAGTTAATGAATATGGAGCTATTTGTCTTTTCTGAAGTAGGGCTTTTGTTGTCCCGCCTACATTTCATGCTTGACTTATTGGCGGGGTACTAGAGGGACGGTTACAGAGGTTGCAAAGACGCACGCTGAGGAAGTGCTCACCAAACAACTTTAACATGGCCCGGAGATAAGATCGGGCAGCACAATTGTAAAATAAGTAGTTTGATTCAGCGCAGACTCATATAAGCTTTCAGACAGAAATGACTGTAATTGTGTAATCACAAGATATTGGTGTAAGCTACGCCCTGTGCTTTAGCCCAGTTCTAGATTTCCAAGGTGACTTAAGGTTTATCAACTCCTTCGTACATTAGACAGTGAAAAGGAACAAACACAAAGACAATCAGCAGTACAAAATAGCCTCTTTTCACACAAGACTTTCCCCGTTTTCCATTAATCCTTAATTAATCCTTAAATCGATCTCCGATGTTTCTATTCACAAAACTCTGGAAACATTGATTCTGTATTTTCCCAGACAACTTGAAAGCCTAGCATTCGCTAAAAGCAGCATGTTACACTATGACGGCTGGCATAAGCAGAGATCGTCTTAAAAGTATATAGATTATAGGAATGTTTTCGTTTGTAATGTCATTTCATATTGAGTGTAGGACTACTTCACTTTTTCAGCTAGATCATGCAGCAGCACATCCTTTCATAGTTCGAGCAATCGCAAGACCACATGCTGGTTTTAAGTAATCCCACTGGGTCACGATTAATGATTCAACTTTTGGAGATGCAAGCCGGGACCACACTGCAGGCTCACAATGTGTGTGGCAAAAAAAAAACATTGCACATAATGAAGTCATATGATGTCTTGTTTGAAATAAACTGTAAAATATTGTTTGGGATTTTCCAGAGGCTTGCGACTCTCTTGACTAACTAAAAATAAATATTACATTAATAAAGAAGCCATCCAAAGCCATCCAGATAGAACACATTTAGCCTGAAGTAGATCATGTAATTTTATGGTACAGTTGGCCTTAAATTGCTGTTAAGACAAATCATTTTTAACATGCAACATGTAGCAGGCACAGGTTCAATATCAAAGATATAGTAAAGTACAAAGCACTATTCGACATTCCTGCACAGTAGCTAACCATACTGTTAATGCATGGGGATATGTGCATGAACAGTGGTTTAATAGGCCAGTTTAATGTGATTTTAAACTTTCCATTAAATTTGTATTCATAGAAATGCATCTTGATAGCAGGAAGTAAAAGCTAATCAACACCACATTTGTAGTCGCTCACACACATTTGCTCTGGCTGCAACCGCGGAAAATGGCTGAAATTATTCTCAAATTGTTTACTTTTTTTCATATTGTTATGTAATATGATTATATACATTCATCACAATTTCTGCTATGGCGTACAGGCCAGACTAATTACTGATTAAAGTCAATGATTCACTTTTAAACACAAACGTTGCTTTGAGTTCAATAAAGTGTCAACACTGCAATGCCTTCATAACGTTTTTTTGCAATAAGTAGCATGAGGCTACATTGTAATGAAGCTTTATGGTT